ATAAATAATGGTACGAAGAGATCACTCTAACATTATTATTACATGCAGGAGATGTAGGCATGCAGCGCAGCTCCCATTTTCTCGTGAAATTCTTATTCTATAAACTAACATTATTGAGCTTTTGCACATACAGATTAAAGATCTACGATCTAATTTTAATAGCATATGTTTCTTCGTTCATTCAAAATTTATGCTTCGTATTATTTTGGATTGTCCCATTATTGCGTTTGTTTCATACCACTTTTGGTAAGTTTTTCCCCTTGATCTCTCGCTTATTTGCTCTTCAATCATATGCACATGCTAGCCAACTCATGTGCACAACTTATCCCAGGTTAAATTAATTGAATTATGTAGGGTAATCCTTAAAAAACGGATTTATAATAAAGATTGACCCAACGTGATTAAATTCTAACAAAATTTGCATCAAAAGCAACTAGAATTGAATACAAGGTAATTATCAATTTAGATTGCAATCCTCTAAGAAGTAAATTTGACAACTGAAATTGATAATAGTTTAATCATGCATGCATCACCTAAAAAAGCCATTCATTAAGTTTCATATGCTTATTGTATAGTTTTAGAGTAATAAACTATTAATTACTTATAGATCGACTTCTTTAATTTATATACGAAGCATATATGCATTGTGGTCGATTAAATACTTACATATTTACATGTGAAGAAATATGTCAAGGGTGACAATTAACCTATACGAGTACATGAGACCCCATGTGTATCCATGTGTTTGCACAAGTAGGTCCATGTAATTTTTAACTTTTATATTTTCTTGAAATCCTCGTGATATATTTTAATAACTACTTCGTATATGTTTTATTATTATGGTCTAGCTTTTTAGTGTAGTATAATTCTTTTGATTTCAACAAAAAGATAAAATTGATGGTTAAAACTTAAAACACGAGATTTGTTTTTAATTATATTCCATCATCCCTCCAAAACCCATATAACCTATCTCATATCATGTTGATTCTTGGTACTATGTTAAAGAGCAACTTAACCAAAAGATTAATCTTATGAACTGGCCTAGTTGAACTTCAAGATTAACTTTTATACTATATTATCTCTTATAAAAATCCCTTTTCAATTCTAAAGCAAAGATCATATATAAAGATAGGTAGTGCACCTAAGTTGCTTCTTTTTTTTTTTTTTTTTTTTTTCTTTTTTTTCATTTTAAGATTTTAAAATGAGAAAAAAAAAATTATTAAATGAGAAAAAAAATAAAAAATATACCCTTGAAGGCTGGGATGCACCTTGCACCAAGTGTATATATATATATATCTTTTTAGTGAACTAAACCGTGAACATAGCTTAAGTCGACACTTTATATCGAAGAGATGAGGCCAGTTTCATTTCTCATTAAATCTACTGTACTTAATTTCAATTAGATATACGAAATAACATAATATGAAAAGAAACTTCACATAAAGTCATTGTAAAGAGTAGCTTACCAAATGATTCTAAATTTGTCTTATAAAAACAAATAATCCCGTAGTTTCTAAGAAAGTGTGCATTGGATCAAATCCACTAATTAAATTTATACACGTTCATTTTGGAAACACATTATAGTACAATTTTCTATTTTTTTATTGAAAAATATGTCATGCCTTCCACTTTGATTTTGTACAGAAATAGGACACGTGGCCAAGAGGAATTGGACACAAATCACTCAAGAAGAACATGCAACACGTAGAACGGTAGAAGAAGACGAACTTATTTATTTATTTTTAATTAATAACAATTATAAATTTAGATAGATGGACTACAAAACTGATTATTTATAGAGATATAAAGGTAGAAAAAAAAAAGGTCACACTCTAATATGTCTACAGAATATGTATTAAAAATTGCTTTCATATAATTGTCTCACGTACAAAATAAATAAATTCAACCATATTTTTGTCCTTAATTCTTTCAATTTCAAACTTCATTGATTATGGGATTCTATCACTTGTTTGTACTCCCATTTTTTCTCCTTACATTTGCGTGTTTGACATTGAAAATTATTGCAATGTTTTATACTTTTATGATTCAAATTCAAAAACACTAATGTATACAGTAGTAAATAAAATTACTGGTTGTAAAATTTTGTTGATAAACTGTACCACCCAATAATATTATTTACATTTTCAACATATAAAAATGAACCTATCTATATCTTGTATATGATTCGCCGATTTGACTTAGCTTTTTCATTATTCATGTATGTATTAATTTTGATCCAAACTTCCTATTATATAAAAACATTCCTTTCCAACGAAATGAGTAATGTTTTTTTTTTTCCTTTTTTTTGTATTATCTATTACAAAATATTATTTTGGTGTAAAAAGAGCTATAAAAGATAATGATTAATGTAAAAGAAATTCAATATATATCTATATTCCATAGTAATAGTTTAATTAACCAAATTAGCTGACATGCATGCATATTACGAGTATTCACTTGTTTTATCCAAAGGTGCTTTGCTTAACAAACTTTTCTATAAGTGAGATTTGCAAAACATTAATCCATACTTTATTAATTATTTGTTTGACTAAATAACTTTTCCATAATAATTAAAGAGGAACAAGATTTAAGACGATGAAATATTGTCTTGTAATTGATCCACTTGCCCTTCCCCCCTAGCCTGACAAAACCCATGTGATGAGACTAATGACCACAAAACCCAACCTCAAAGTAGTTATATCTTTACACCTTTGTCACATTTCATAACAAAATCATAACTCACATTTTTCTCCCCCCTTATTATTAGTTTTATAATGTTTATATTTCTTTTGAATAATTATTAATAAAATAGGTAGCATTCTAAGAATGACAAATAATTCTTATATTAGTAATGTTACAGGTAAGACATGAAGTATATGAGGGTCCATTTACATATTACTGTTCAAGGCAAGTTAATGACCCAGGCCAAGTCCTCTACTTGTGGAGGTTTATTGTCGGGGCATTTTCTTATGGGATACCCTACCACAAACTAGCATTGTATAAATCTTATGACTCCTGCAGTCCTGCATAGTGGTTGCATCATTTATGTCCCTCGGCGCAGTGTTTAACACCCGCCTAGAATTCTACTGTTTGTTACACCTTGGAGGCCATGATAATGGACTCATTTGGAGACCAAATATTCTTAATTAAATTCTTGGTTCGAAGACTAATATAAAACCTTTTATATAGACGGATATAAGTCAATACTGTGTTTTTAGCTACTAATTTACATTATCATGCTAATTCTTATGTAATAAACCCAATTGATTCTGTTGTCTTTTGGCAAATTCAGTGCTTGACACATCAATAAACGCATTTTTCTATGGTGATATTTTCATGTTAATCGAAATGACAGAGAGGTAAAAATAAATCTAATTGGTTTGGCCAGAATAAGTTTTCAAACCATCAGACAGTTCACTTACTGGTGATCGAAATGACAGAGAGGCAAACAACATAAACATTGCTAGAATGTAAATTTAAATAATTCTTCTAAGCTAAAATTACAATGTACAGAGTATATATGAAGTACTATTAAATTTAACTTCGAAAGTAGTCGGCATAAAAGGTCGGAAGTCACATTATTTTTGACACATTACTAACTTATAATTAGATCTGGCAAATGGGTCATTCGGGTTGGGTCGGGTCATTACGGGTCAGCTAACATTTGGGTCGGGTCGATACGGGTTTTGGGTCAACTTCGGGTTAGGTATCGGGTCGAGTTTAGGTCGGGTCAATTTCTGGTCGGATATATTTGGGTCGGGTCAAGTATGTTCGGGTTGTTTCATTTATGAATCAAGCTCAAATGAATAATTTTATACGGAGTATATATTTTGTTATTGTTATAATAAAAACTATCAATTCAGTTTATGAGCTTAGCTACGGTTGAGGATGAACAATTTGAGTTACTTTTGGTACAAGACATTTTAAGTTCAATTATAAGGTAATTTTAGTTTGGGGCATTTCGGGTATTGGGTTTGTTCGGGTTAAACACTTCGGGTCAATTTCGGGTCGGATCAGTTCGGGTGTCGGGTCAAGATCGGGTCAACTCCATTTTCGAGTCAAGTATGGGTCGGGTCAGGTCAATTTCGAGTTTCGGGTTAATGTTTTTGGATCAATATTGGGTCATGGGTCGAGTCATTTGGGTCGGATCATCGGGTATGGATCAGGATTTCCAGGTCTACTTATAATGTCTTAATCCATTAAATAGTCTTAACAACTACAGTAGATTGTAAAAAAAAAAAAAAAAAAAAAAAAAAAAAAAAAAAAAAAAAAAAAAACTACAGTAGATATAACTCATATAAGCATATAAGATCTATTGGATCATGTGATCATGTTTAGTCTATTTTTTATATTTAGGCCCATACCTTACTTGGACCACTAACACAAAAAAGAACTCTTGTACAACCAATAGTATTAGCCCTTTTACTCTTTTAGGCGTACAACAAAGAGCTTGTCCTAATGGAGTTTCATTATGCATAGAGAAATACAGATAAGAGGCAAGAGTGTAATTACACATAGATGCATATTGTGAATTTAGAGTAGTTCAATTGGGTGATCAATACAACCATTGGGTGATCAAATAGTACCTTGAACATTCAGTGGTAATAACTGCGTGTAGAAATAATATCACAACATAAACAATGGTATTATATAAGCTTTCAGTGGTATATTTAAAAGTGGTCTCACTTACCTATCTCTCTCCTCCACTACCACAATGGTGTCAATAGACTACGGTCCAAAATAGCAATGGACGACGGTCAACAACCGTTGTAGATGAAATCGTTGTTGTAGAGGGGGGTATCATATAACAACAATTACTCTAACCATTGTTAAATGCATGGTGTTCACAACATTAGACTACCCATTTAACCACTGTCAAAATTGATATTCTAATCGTTGTTAATGTGAATAATATGACTGTTGTTAAAATAAAGATCTTGAATTGTTGTTGTTAATCAACTAAGAACTTTATTTGACTACAAATACAAACTCAACTAAAATTACGCAACCAAATGGATATTTTTATATATATATAAAATAAAAACCAATAAATTTCACGATTTCCATTGCAAATTACAATAGAAAAACAGAAACTACGTACGCATATTGTAAAACCAGCCATAATCTTCACTTTAACGATATCTAAGAAACATTATATACATATTGATTTGTCTACCAATTGGTTGTAACTTCCTAAATCAACTAGCAAAGTGAGAAAGTGGCGTGCCAACTCAGTTTTGACTTCATCAATTTCTTCCGTGTTGTAGTTGGGCTACAAAAAATCTGAAAAATACTGCACATATTGATATAAATTATAATCAATAATCAAAGCAATAGTTAATTTTTAATATAAACATAAAACATTACAATAAAGTTACCTTATATTAGAGTTGTTAAACTATGTTTACCAAATATTAGTCTATATACGAAGTAAATATCAGTCTAAAGAACGAACTGACAAATAAACTACTACCTAAAATTGAAAAAACAAAAATACACTTGAAATTGTATACATTATTCAAAGCCAAGTTAAATAATCCAAGCTCCAATTAAATTTTTTTCATGAAATCCCTCCTGTACCAAACATCATCCCAATAAATCAATATGGAATTGGATTTTCTTTTTTTAATTGGAAAGGAAACCAACATGCAAATCAAAGAAACTAAATCTCAATATGGATTAAGAAAGTAATTTGAATTAGCTAGCAAAGATAATACAAATTAAATTAATAGTGTGTTAGCTTCAATGTATATATACATATCCTCTTAATCATTGTAAATCGACCAAAATTGATTCACCAGACATCTAATTTCATGAAACAATTTACCCAGATTCTTGCCAATGAAGTCATATGCAATTTAAATTAAACAAATTAAACATCAAGAAAGCTTAAAAAATAGTAATATATGAATTACTTACCGAAGTCCGCAGATAAATTTTCTGATATGTATTCCACAAATCGTAATCTCAACCTCCCTAATTACATCAAATTAGACTCCAATCAGTTTGATTCAAACAATAAACCCTAAGAAATCAAGATGAATTAATAGAATACCGTACAGAAAGACGTCTTGCAAACCAGAACGAGGAAAGAGAAAAGTGAGATTTGATTTTTTGATTTTTTTTTCTTCTTTTCTTCTATATATGATCGTGATAGAAACAAGGAGAGTGGAAGCAAAGAAGTAGAGAGCCCGCCAAATTCTATTGTGATTGGTTTTATTGGAGACCCTTTTTTTTTTTTTTTTTTTTTTTTTTTTTTAATCATAGTGAAAAAAGTTTATTGAAATTTTACTAGAAGCTAGTCAAGCTACTAAGGCCCTTTAACAACACTTACCAATGGGCCATTATTAAAATTTTATTCCTTTTAACACCGGTTAAATATAAAACGTTGTCTTATTCATAATCCGTTATTAAAGATATCTACTTATAACAATGGTTTAAGAAGGAGAGTTGTCATATATTACAGTATAATTTTAAAACTATTTAATACAACGATTCCTTGTTGAAACGTTGTTGTTTTGACCGTTGGATTTTGCAACAGTTGTAGTAGTGCTCCTTTCTCTCTCTTTCACGTACTTTTTAATATTTTTATATTTGTTATGTATTTGCAAATGCATAACAAAACTGCATTAATACTTCCTCGTACAACAAGTTCATGGGTTCAAAATGGGTCCTTTACTTTTTTTTTTTTTGTTTATTTTACTTTTGTTTATTTTTATTTATTTTTGGGAAATTTTCAATTTTCCTATATGTTCAATTTCCTTAAAGTATTAACAAACTACCAACATTGCAATTACAAAAATCAATAGGGCTTAGACAACACATCAACATGACAACATCCTACATTTCTACTCCCATAGTTATATTTGCATTTCTATTCACTGTTCCCTGCAATCATGCATGCATACCCAAGTTTAGAATAATCTAGGATACACCCCGAAAATAAACAGAATATTTAATCGGTTTTAAAATAATTGCAACATATTTATTTTATCGGATAGAGACTTTTCCACCTTTTAGAAAGGGTGAAAAGCCAACCCCTGCACGGCTGTACGAACCAACCTACTTACGTTAAGAGCAATTGTAATTGCAATATGATATATAATACTTGTGACCAATAAGGTACCCACATCGAAAAAATTGTAGAGTTTTAGGTTTTAGGGTTTTAGAATTCTAGAGGCTCTGATACCATGCTAGAAAATGATTTTAGAAAATGATTTTTCCGTGGTTTGTATTACTGTAAAGAAGAGTATATATATACAAATTATTGGGCTTAACACTACATAGCCCAAAGAGCTAACTATACATTACACAATTAGTTAAATAAATACATTATACGGCCTAACACAAAGTATGTCAAATCTTAGACACTTAAAATGAATATTGCTCCTGGCAAAAACAAATCAAAAATGCCGGGATGGCTTGGAATTCTACGAGTGATGGCACCACGTTTATTGATAGAGGAGGTGACTATTCCTGTGTGGCGTGGAAGGTTGGTAGAGACCAGGTTCAAAGAGCCCATGATCTAGCAAATGGGTGTAGGGTTAACTTTACTCGCTTTACAGTTTAGTTTTTATTTTTTCTTTTAGTTCTTTGTTGTTAAAAAAAAAAAAAAAAAAGTATATTGCTCATCTGTCTCATATTTGTCTTCACAATTTATTTTTCTACTCGTATGTTTATATTATTAAAATCTTACACTCTACCACATTAAATAAATTAATACAGTACTAGAGTATTACGGATACATTATCATCTATCACATCTACTTTTTTATACACTACGAGTACATGGAATTTTACAGAATGCAACAAATAAAGATGACCCAAATAATATTAGAAGCATGAAATGGCCCAAAAGAATAGATGAAAGGATAAACCGATATGAAGGCCCATATTGTTTAGAAAGTCTAAAAACTCCATTTTAACTAATTCTGGAAAAATTGAAAAACCCTACTATTTTCCGAGTTCGTGGAAATTAGAAGCTAAAGTTGTAGGAGGTGAGCTTTGATCTTTGTAATCAATCAGGTAACAATATCTTTCATGATCTGCTTTATTATTATTATTTGAATTCTTAAATTGTTAAAATTAAATTAGATAATGGGTTCTGAATAACTTGTGGAAATTAGTGAAATAAATTTGATGGGTGTGAAAGAAAAAATTAAAATTGTTGAATTCGATTAAAATGATATTTTGTTGAATCCTTTTGGGAAATATACTTGGATAATAATCTGGGTATAAGGGTTATTCAAAGATTGATTGGAATATAATGAAAATGTAAAATCTGGGCAAATGTTAATTTTTCTGTTGTAAATTCTGTGATTAGAATTCAATTTTAGGGTTCTGGGATGAATTTATTGGTCCTTATTTAATTTTGACAATTGCTGTTTTCTGTATGAGATTCTCTTCAAAGGTGCATTTTAAATTTTGATGCTTTGTATGCCCATTTAAATGAATGGAATGGAATGGACTGAGGTTGGATACGAGAAATTAAGTGAATTAAGTTGCAAAGTTTCTCAATGAGCGATGCACTAACGATTTCGAAGCCTCTTTCAACCGAGGCGCTTGCTTGTCACTGATCTTGATAGGTGCAATAGTTGTGCTATTAGAGGATTTGTAGTTTATTTGGGTGGATTGATATTAGTATAACCTCATACGCTTGAGTGTTATAGCTGCTCAAGTATGTTGTAATTCTGGTAAAGCTCCATTTGGAGGGTCTTTGTTAGAGGCAACTGATTGTCAATCGCTAAATGCCTGCATATGGAGTATGTTCTATCTATTGATAAACGGAGGAGTGCGAGTGGGAAGTCCAAGTACTTGAATATTTAGTGTCCCACGGTATGTTACTTTTTGGAGGTTTCAGATTAGGTTGTATGAAATATATTGTACTATAAGCAAGTATTTTGGTTAATAGGGGTTAGGGATATAGAAACAACCACTTACATAGTTTATATTGGGATTATGATGCTCACTTAAGCTCCGCTTTCATCTATCCTTTTTGAGGAATAGGAGTGTTGAATTAATTGAGGTGGCAGAAGAGACATTGCGTTTGTGATTTTCTGTAAAGATCTCACAGGTTTGTTTTAGTTGTGGGACGGTTGTTTACAGTGTTAACTTTGGTTAATCCCATGGTGATCAATAAAGACCATAGATAAACTTGAACGCTTAAAAAATCCGTTATTGTGCACCTAACATCTCTAGGCTGTGATTTGTGAAATGGAAGGGCTTCATGCATCTAAGATTTAAGGTTGAATTTTGTAACCAAGCCCTAGTTCTTTGTCAATCACTTGAGCGTCTCTATGTCAACACAGAAGGCAGCAAAAAAATTTCTGTACATGAAAAAGCCAACTAAGAGTAAAGGACTAAAAGATTTCTTACTTTGGGTATGGCAACCTGGCTGGCAGCACTGCAGCTGTGTTTCTGCTCACATTGAAGGCATACAATGTACACTGTTGTCGAGTTTCCTAATCAATCTGATGATAACACTGTCTTTAACACCTTACATCTCTTCCCTATCCTCTGAAATTTATAATGGCTAAAATTGTCCTTTTTGATTTGTGCTACCACATTTTCCAGTCTGAAAAACCTGACGTGCATTAACCTAAACATTGTTCGTCAGTCTATTTTAGGAGTAGTTTTGTCTAGCCTCTATGGGTTTTTTATACTGTAGAGTTTTGTAAAATTAAGACATCTTGCAGAGATCTTAGAACTAGCAGTCCTATGGCTTTGGAAACAGTTGTTTGGAGTTAAATGGCACTGGATCCTATCCCTTATAAAAGAGAGGTGCCTATAATTATTAGACCAAGGCTGAGAGACAAAAGGAAGAAAGGATTGAGATGAAGTCATTATATATTCAAATATGTTAACTCAGGCCTTGATTTGGGGGTGATCACGGGGTTCAGGGATGCGAAATATTGAGTTAAGTACTGGGGAAAGGATTTATTCAACACTTACTTTATAATTGCGATTATGAGCCCTTCGGTAAATTTTGATTTTTGAAGCCTGGAGAAAATTTGTCATAGTAACACTGAAATCTTCAATTTCAATACAGATTTTCTTAATATGATGTTGTTCCTCGTACCTTCATCAATTGCATCATTTGCTTGAAAAGCATAGTGCCATGTCCATTACATAATATGAAGTATAAGTGGAATTATCGCGGACTATAGACTTGTAGAGCGGATTGATTTTGTGCTAAACTCATTATAATGATGAAACACCTTTGTTTACTGTGCAATATATTCCTAATTTGACATGTGAACACCTGTCAGGCTGCCTCCATGTGTAAGGTTCATATTAGATGTTTCTTAATGGATCTTGAAACATGTGTTTTGGTCTGCCTTTGGAAACCCTCCTCAAAGACCTCCCAGGGCTCTTTCGTTTGTTGATGAAATTGGGGAGGGGGATAGCACAAAATCTTTTGTAGATCAGTGTGTCATTAAGACGTCTCCCCCTTTCCCCAATGGGGGGAGGTGGGGGGGGGGGGCGATGATGGGTTTAATTTGAAGAATTTCCCTTACAAAAATTACAAATGCAGTAACCATGAAGGTGCGGTCATCAGTAAGGAAGATGTGTGAGTTTTGCAAGGTGGTCAAACGTCGTGGTCGTGTGTCTGTACTTTGCAGTGCCAAACCCAAGCACAAGCAGCGGCAAGGCTTCTCAACTTTTGCACATGAAGGGCCCCTTATAAACACGTATGTAATCCACTGTATCTCCTTTCTCTGTTCCAGTCTATATTTTTTGTTCAGCTGCTGAAGTTTGCATCGAGAATTCTGATCAGTTTTTTGGACTTTGTAACTTTGGGTAACCAATCATTTGCCTTGGCATTTCTTCTTAGTAAACAATATTGAGTAAGCTGGAAGGTTGGTCCCTCCATGTAGTTATACTAATCATACTTTCCTATCTGGTTTGTCATACAAGGACTATCATATTCGGTGTATATACTGCAGCTTATACGTAATGAACGTGTGTATCACTTGATGAATAATACTTGCAATTACTGAAAAGTGAAAAATGTGTAGCAAATGATAATGAAGTTGGTTTAGAGAGAATATCAATTGGGCATGAAGTCAAGACAGTATTTATGTAAGTTTAAGTAGCTGCCTTTCTCATATTGAAAGCATCAATGGTGCTCTAATACCTTTTCATATTGAACATTCAGGCCTGCGGATATAAGTTCAAAGCCATTGATTTCAAACAGCCCAAGCTTGCGCATTGGTCTGGCGTCTGCTTTGCCTAAAGTACAGCAGCCTGCAGCACTGTTTGGTTGGAGGGATGCTATTGCTTCGCTTCTGTTCAAGAAAGGCAATTAAGTAATTAGCTATTGTGAAGTACCCAAGGAAATTATATACACTGAAATTTCTGTTACAATTGCATAAACTTTTTTTAGCTAATGACAATTTTGTACGTATCAGCCATAGTATTTCACCTTTTAGTATTTGCTTATTCTCTGTATGTCCTATGCTTTGACCTCTCTTGCTCTAAACTACTCATTTCCTCCTAAAATTGGAGCATTTTGATGAGAAATTTGTATTTTCTGCTTATTATATTCTTGCTGTTAAGTAAATACTTCCTCAGTTCTCAATATTTTGTCAACTTCTTTTTGTTGTCCCTCAGCATTACTTAAAAAATAAATTACATACACTCTGAAGGATATTTTCTGCTCATTTTAAAATCTTAAAATGAGCACAAAAGGATATCAAATGACCAAAAATCCACCCTTGGGTACACCTATCTCTATGTGCACTCGGGTGTATATGAAAGGTGTAAAATTACTGAATTTTTTATTTACCTGTATAATTTTGATCGCATTTTTTTTATTACAAATATATAAACCTAAATGTCATTAATGTAATGATTATTGGGTTGATAACTTATTCAAATTTTTATATCATTAACTTTTTATGATATTTTCTAATGTTATTATTTTAGTTCATTTTTAACATAAAGGTGAAACATACAAGCCTTAAACCTCGAGGATAGAAAATTACCATCCATTAATCTCAGTGCCCAACCTTTTATCCTAGGTATTGATGTTAAAATCCTTAAGCTCTAAGAATTTCTTCTTTTATTTCTGTTAAGGTGATAAAGTAGTGTTCTTTTGTTTTACTTTTCTTTTTCTTCTCATTAGTGTTTAACACACAAAGACTTTGAACACCTTACTTGCTCTATAAGACATTGACTCTTTCCACAAATAAAGTCAAAGATATATTTTCTACTTTCATCTTTATCCTTTTGTCTTATGGTACAATAATTAAGGTTGCATTAGCATTTAATCCTCTTTTTAACCCTTTCTATTTTGATCAGAATCGATAAAGATCACTGGCCCAAAATTGACAAGCTCGATGTCAACTAAACTAATTGTGCCAGTAATCTTAGAGGTGAATACCAACACTGAAAACCCAAGATTAATTCTCGAAACATTACCGTCTATGCTATACCAAAAAAAAAAAAAAAAAAAAAAAAAAAAAGACACTATTATAATTTCAATTAATTAATAAAATGGATTACTATGATAATTGCGGAAGGTAAAACTTGAAGAAGATATCAAGATAGGATAGAAAACGACAACCCAGTTGAACTACTCAATAACCCAAAAGGCCAAGGGCCAATCAAAACAAAACTCAGAGAATAGTATAACCCAATTAATCTCATCCAGCTCTTATACAATTGATTCAATAATCTCTGTCATCATCAAATATTTTGTCTTTCTAAATTCTCAATTATTTCAAAAATTCCCCCAAAAAAATAATTTTCTTTACTAAAACCAGCTCCATTAATTTTTTCTTTTTCTGGGTTTCTTAAACCCTTTATTCATTCAGTTACACAGATTGGTTTCTGGGTTTGTTTCAATGACTGTTTATGACTCTTTTACTTCTTGGATCAACAGCTTCCTTGCTTGCATAGGGTATGCCATCTTCTTCTAATTCTCTTTCTGATTTCAAAGTTCACAACTTTTTTTTTTAATTATTCATTTTCCAAAATGATTGTTTATTAGTTTATGTACAGTATTTTCATGATTTTATACTGTTATTCCCCTCTTGGATAAACTATAGAATATGGGTCTGGTTAATGATTTTTTTTTTTTTTTTTTACATGTATATGTATATTTTTTGTGTTCTCATTATTTTTTTTTTTTTTTTTTTTTTTGGTGGGTTTACTGTTGGGACTGTAAATTGGGATTAGTTGATATTTCAGCTGAATTGGTGATGCTCAAGTGCAAATGTTAACAGTTAATAATGTCTTTTAATGGTGTGATGGAGATAGTTTATTGACCAAGTAAACTCTGGTGGCTTATTTAAACTGCAATGTTGTGTATGGAAGGAAGCAGATTTCTGATATTCAACCTGCCAAGTGCCTACTTTCACTTGCAATTTGAACTAAAATAAGTGTGATTTACCATATACTTCCTTGTGATTGTCTCAAATTGAATGATTTTGAGATAAAAGATTGGCCCTGCAGGCTGCACCTAGCTAATTACTTACGATTTAGTACTGAGAGTGTCACTGTGTGATCATGTTCGATTTGCGAAAATTGCTGATCTCAAAACAATTGATTTACAGCTTCCTAGACTGTTGTTGATAGGTGTATTTGAGCTATATAAATGAGCACAAGAAAGAACGCTACTGATTATGAGGAATAGGTCATGGTTGTTTTGGCCTTGGGGGGATTAACAGTTAGTTTGATGAAAAGCTCTCAAGGTTCATTTTTTAAACTAAATGGTGGTTTCCATTTGCGCTTTAGAGCCCTAAGAGGCAAAAACATCTATGCAAGAACTCATTTGATTATCATATTAACATCGAATCTGCTCACTTGTGGCTATATGCATGCCTGTATCACTTATTAATTACTTCCTGTATGTGCTAGGTGAACTTTCCTTCCTTTCACCAAGTCAGAAGTACTCTAATTCAGCTGCAGTTTACTTATGGTGCTATCTGCTAAGTCATTGTAGTCATGTTGTTCTGTATTCTATGACAATTGCAATGCTGTTTTTATTATTTAAATGATCTGTCAAGTTCAATATACCAATCTGATTGTTCTTAATCTTTTTGAATCCTTTTATATATCATTTTGCATTAGAGTGCAAGTTTTATGTTTTTCTTAATTTGATTGTGTGTTTTCGCATAATGCTGATGAGTGACAACTTTAACCTATAAATTTGTACTATGTTTGAATGGCATTATCAATCAATATATCACATCTAGGGCTACAATTCAAAATAAAATCTAGCAGGATTACAATCTTCTTTCTGTTAAAAGTTGTCATCTCTTTATCTGCTTCCTGTGTGTTCAGTTGTTTCAATATCAACTGAAGACAAATTGCCTTTAAAATCTAAGTACTCTAATCATAAGTGCAACTTGTTCCATATCTACTTGCATAAGTTCATAACTACTGGTGTTACCTTCAATAAGCAATTTAGTATGACGTCGTGAAAGTCGCTTGGGAATTTCCATATATTGTGATGCTTTGCTAGTTTGGGTTTGGTGGGATCTTTTTCTAGGATAGACATGAGATCTTGGCCGCTATGATGCCAGAGATCTAGATTAGCACCCGTGTCTATTTTTATTTTGTTAAGAGTTCTAAGGAGAATCAAACTTCTGTATACAATAGCTCCCAACTCAAGGTGAGGTAAGAACCAAACCCCAACTCCTAGGTTGGAAGTTGGGAGCTCTACCATTGAGGTTCCACTTGACTATCACATTGTTGTTCATGTTGATTGGTTTGTCTTGTGTTTTTTGGTAATTCCTGAATTTCTTAAATGTATGTTATGTTTGGTGAAAATTGAATCCAGTATGTGCTTGTACATGTCCATGAATCTGTTTTGGACAGCGCAGTAGCTGTTTGGGAGGCTGTGCAAAACCGACTCACACTCCTGTAGATGATTATCCGACAAAAGGACTACGATGCCAGGGCCAGGTGGTGGAGAAACAAAATCTTTCCGATGACTTTTGGGGTACCAGCACAGGTGATTTGGACAACCCGATTGGTCTATCACAACGAAGCATGTCTTCACTCAGTACATCGAATGTCAGTTTTCTTTCTGATATCGGATCAGCAAGCATGCACTGCCACACAGATTTCGTAAATCCTGGCAAGTTTTTTTTTCTTTTTTTTTCTTTTTTATATATACTGTACATTTCTCTACTAGAAGCTCCTCTTGTAAATCACAGTTTTTTTGCAAGCGATCCACATTCACCTCTGGGTGGACTGTAATGTCATAAGACAATCATTTCAAGGGCTGTAAATCACTACTTTCATGAATTTCTCCTGGGAAAAAAAATTGATTTTTTGATGATTTCATGTCTGCAGGTCTTCTTCTCTGGACTCAAATCCGTCTTCAGTGGATTGGAGCTACAAAATCAAATGAAGATCATCAAACCATAGGACCGGCAATCAGGTTATTACCTTTTCTAAAACACATGATATCAGTCACTTACGTTACTCATCTGCTGGATTATGTTCCTCCCCACCCCAACTCCCTTCAAATGCCGCTATTTCCTGTAATATCATTACATATACGTATCAAAACTGCAATGAAATTAATAAAAACTATCCTTTTTCTACAAATGAAAAACCGTGGCCCTAGGGGCTCGGGGTTGAGAAGCAAATGTGCATGATAACTAGAAGCAGTCTGTCTTTGCATATGTTATAATTAGCCTTAGTTTGTTTTCATCTGAAAATCCATATTTGAACTTATTAGTACACATTTGATCTTACTCAACCTGAAATTTTGGTGAAAAAGAACAAAGCTTACTCAACCTGAAACTTGGGTGATAAAGAACAAAGCTTACTCAACTAAGTAACTCGTTGAGGGTTGGGTGCTGAGTTTCTAAGAGAGTAACGAATAACTGATCAGTCTTAATACATACATATGATCCTACGAAGTGTTCAGCTGCGACATTCAGTCGTGAACAATATGGAATATATTTTCTTACCATCATAGAAACATGTGTTTCACAGTCTAAATGCTACGTATGACAGCTTGCTTAGCTCCAGGGAGCGATTCAGGCGGCCCATCCCTTTATCAGTAAGCTTTCTTTTACAAAGATTGGCTTTTCCATGCCATGAATGTCAGTTGGTGCTTACAGTTTACTGTTTTTGGAGTGGCAGGAAATGGTAGACTTTCTAGTTGATGTATGGGAGCAGGAAGGATTGTATGACTGAAAGACATGAACTGTAGATAACAAATTTCAGTTTCTCGATACTTCGAAATGCGGAATTCTTAGGAGAATTTGTAAGCAAAGAAGCCTTATAACCAATGTATAGATGTTGATTAACACAGCTAATTTATATACCCATGTATGCTTTGTTTTTCCTACTGTAGTTCACAACGTTCATTTCCAGTTCTGTTGCTAAATGGACTGGTATTTTTCATTTATGTTCTTAAATACAAACAAAGATCAATTAAGCATGCTGTGATGTTACTCAAAACATACATCTACATCACTACATGATATATTTTGTCTAAGAACACCAAAATTCGTGTTAATATTGAGTATGTGTGAACGAGCCATTTAGATTGGAGTTGGTTTGATTTCATTTATATTGGCCTTTTGGGTTATATTTGAGTGATGAGTTATTCAATTCAATTTGGATCCCGTCATCTTTAAATGAAATTACCAAATTGTCCTCCCTTTCACAATTTACTAGTGAACCGGTTTTTGATTAGGCTAATCCTTTTTTTTTTTTTTTTTTTTTTTTGGTGTTTAGAGAGCCATCAGGGCAGGGGTGAGAATCGATCTCTGGATCTCCTGGAACCGGGAGGAAAGCTTAACCACTTGAACTATCCCTCACTCTCAATCATTTTTTGTTTCTAATTGCTCATATATACGTAGTAGAATATTGAATGGGGAATTTTATAGAAAATGAGTTAAATTATCACTACCATCATTCATCTTCCATTATTTAGAAAAGACATATTAAAGCAATATATAAAAAAAAAAAGTTACTCAAAGTTCAACTCACTTAGTAAAAAGTGACCAACTATTGTTGAGAAAACTAATAATTAAAATCTGGCCTAGTGTAGATACATTCCTATAATACAATTGATAAATACGAATTATATAGATTATTGACAAACTTGTAAAATTAGTGAAGAGTTAGGTTTTTTTTTTTTTTTTTTTTGGGTTAAACCACATTTATGATTTTATTTACAATAATTATGCTTAAGTATACAAAATTTGATTTACAACATTAAACAATTGCTCTTTATTAATGTTCAACATTTGTCAACACCATATGATATATAGATAATAGATACTCGGACGCCCCCTAATTTATCGAAAATGAAGCCGTGCAACGCACCTACATCCTAAACACCTGTCCTGCTAAATGATCCCAACAAACAAAGATCCGTATTGTACACTACAAGTATAATAATATCTACTGATGATTTTCCACATTTACGAGATTCTAATATAAAACCTCAATAAATCAAGGTAGCTAGAATAGTAGGTGATCCATTCAAACTACACTGTATTATCCCAAGAAATTCCATGAATTTGGCTTCATTTTTAAGTTTTTATCTTCTTTTTTCTTGTACATTTATGCAAAATACTGTTTTAAACGATTTTTTTTTTTAAAAAAGATGTCAGTCAATAACACAGATTCTGTGATCCTGGCTAAAATTGTTTTCCTCTCTTTCTATCCTTCCAAATCACATGCCATTCTTCCTCTTTAGTCCATGCCAAAATCATAGTTTTTTTTTTATTTTATTATTATTATTTTAATTAATTTTTATTTTTATATAATATTTTAAATTTTTTTTAGCATGCCATATTCATGCCAGACATTCATTTCTTGTTCATGTCTACATAAATGACCCTATCATCATGCAGAATTTTGTGCTTTTTGCTGATGTAGATGATAACATTATGAATTTTTCTAAAAGAGGATATTAGATTAGAAGTATTCAACAAATAGAATGAAGTCCAAAACTTTTTTTTAAAAGGATAGGTGCCATTTGAACTCTTAGGATAAGTATGCTGTTTGCATTATCATGCAAGATGATGTATACTTGTATACACCTATACACGACTCTACATTACGTTTTAGCCTTTATAGGTGACAACATAGTAAGACACAATCAATAGTAGTTCGGGAAAAAAAAATGTACTGTATTTAATACTCGTAGCTATTTTACAATATATTTTTTTTTTAAAAAAAAAAATCTCAACTTTGCTTCATTTTTGAAATATTTATAAATTACTTTGACTAATTTTTAAAAAATGTTATATATCCATTTTAATAAACTAAAGTAAATCAAAATTTGAGGAGTTAATCATATCAAGTCAATTGTGTAAATAGAATGGAGGAGTGTATGAAATTTTACAAGATAAGTTATTACTTGTCAATATCCTATAGGCCATAAAGAAACTCCTATCTAACCATTTTTTCTATCTTTTCATAAATTTCTTACACTCAATATCACCTTCAAAGTAGTTACATAACAATAATGATTAGAGTATAAAAACCAATAATATTCCAATAATCGGCTTAAACTTCTGGATCGATTAATTCAACCTCTAACATGGTTTATTAAAAGTTATCGTGGTGGTTAAATTGATAGATTAAAAAATAATTAACATTACCATCAACATTGACACAAAAATTATTCTCATAAATAAAATTACTCATAAAATTATTAGCATGCAATATCACTCTTTATTTATTTCCACCAATCAAACAAATAGTAGATGCATGCTTTTCTCATCCCTCCATCTCTCTCAATACAATTTATTATTGCACAAGTTTTCAAATCCAAGTTGTGGTCGTCACCAATATATAATGCACTAATAATTAATTAAGCTCAAATAACAGCTTAAAGCCTAATCCATATATTATCAGCTTGTAATCATCATTATTATAGTTAAGAGAAGCCAGCAAACTAAGACGCGTCAACACTCTACACGGCTTTGAAGCTAATTTTGTTTTTTATAGGCTAATTACATTGTTTAATCTAGGCAAAGTACATTGAATGTTTTGCTAATCAGCCATTCATATTTATTTGTTTTGAGTTTGGTTTGAAGTTGATATCAACCAATAAATTACAAAGTGAGATTAGTCCAATGAATAATGTGCACGGTTATACTATATACTTATGCAATTTAATGTATTTATAATGATTATGCATTTGATGTGATAGTCACCCTAAGAGGGTTGAAAAATACCAAGCAAAGCTTGGTTTAGTGGTAAGGTTTGTCACCTCACAACCAAAAGCTTGTGGGGTCAAATTCCACTAGAGGCAATTTGGGGTGGGGATTCCTTTACCCTTTCCCCCCTATTTCCAGATTGTCTAGTCCGCTAACCCATATCGGGTTGGACCTGTGAAAGGTTCCGCCCTGATAGGGCCCTTCTCCTTACCGAAAAAAGGGGGTTGAAAAAGACAAGGTTCAAGTGTGTATTTACTTGCACCACATGCATGTCATTCTTTCTAATTCAAATCCAATATAGTTAGAGGCTCTCTAATGCTCCAAGTAGGAGTATTACCTCCATCTCCAAATAAAATCTCAATTCGGATCCATTGTAATTTAAATACGTTATGATGCCAATTATCAATTCAATTTATTTCTGTAGTGCTCCGATCCGTATACAAGTTTTAAGTTATAACTGTCTCTATCCCTTACAATTTATTCTATTTGACTTTATTTTACGGCGTCTATGACATATCTTAAAATACGTCATCAGACCAATTCCATATATGTAAATATTATAAATTTTTCTTAAAATACGCCTCCAATTTCTATATACTATAAAATTTTGATAATTTAAAATAGACAATGAAACAAATCTATTTTATAAATTAGTGAGAATTTGTGGTTATATCCATACAAAGACAATGAGGGGCAATCTTTAAATAACGGGGGATTAGTTTGATTGATATATTCGTTTGTTTTTTTTTAGGGAATGACATACCTTTATTTTTTTACAACAATAATTTGAAATATTTTTTTTTTGAGGGCAAGCTGGCTTGTATTAATCAAAGAGACAATAAGTCCATGAGTACATAGGAAGCAAAATCAGTAGGATAAGTGTTTTCCCAGATTTGTTCAACTCCGAAAGGAATAAGCTTAGCTAAGGAATGAGCAACACTATTGTCATCCCGTCTTACATGAGACCAACTAACCGAATTAAAAGATGTACACATGAAAAAAATATCACCCAGGACTGTATCAAGCTCAACCGAGAATCGTGCTCCTTTTGACAGACGATCAATAACTAAACTGCAGTCTGATTCTAGGATTATATCCTTGTGGTATGCTGCCAGCTTTAGTGCTCTAAGTATGCCCTTCGCTTCTGCAATCTCAGGCGACCAGTAAGCCTTCACTCTTCTTGTAGCAGCCCAGAGAACTTGCCCTGTGTGGTCTCTAGCAACCATGCCCAAGCCAATCCAGCCCTCTTCTGACAGGGATGCATCGGTGTTTATCTTGACAATGCCATATGGGGGAGCAAGCCATTTGTTTGGGTTGTGACAGGGAATGGGCGTGATAGCTTTGTAGATACGGGTGGTATATTTGTCAAACTCCTCCACATACCTGAAAACACGCTGGGTGAGGATTTCATTCGGTGTGGTTTTGTCCTCGAACACCTTGCGATTTCTTTCCCCCCCACAAACACCAAGCGAGGAACATGCCTCGTTGCTTCACCTTATCGTCAAAAGGTTTCCAGCCTACCACCAAATCACAGAAGGATGAGGTTGAACTCCAATCCGCCATCTGGTTGCAATTACAATCAGCCCATAGTTCTTTAACCCTTGATCAGCCCACAAGAGCATGCTCCACGGTTTCCAAGTCAGTCCCACACTATGCGCATGAAGCGTTATCAATCATATGTCTGTGAAGAAGAAGGCTTTGAGTAGGCAGCGTACTTGAGCAAAGACGCCAGAAAAAATGCTTTACTTTGGGGGTCACTTTAGCTTTCCAGATTTCTACCCACGCTTGATGGAAGGTGTCAAAATCTCCTCCTTTCCCAAGCATATATGCTGACTTGACCGTATACAACCCAGTCATTGAGAAAGCCCAACTAAGCTCGTCTTCTTGATCAGTTTCACTAATAGGGATAGCCAGGATGTTTCGTCTACCCCTGTCATTGAAGCAACTTTCAATGACATCCACTCGCCACTCTCTTCTATCTTCATCAATTATATCACACACCTTATGTAGATTTGTAGAGGCCCTGCTAGAAAGAAAACGCCCCTCAGAATTAGCAATCCAAGGATCACCCCAAATGTTTATATTTCGACCATTGCCCACCCTCCATAACAGACCTTCCTTCACAAGCGCCTTCGATGACCATATACTCTGCCAAGAGTAACTTCCTGTCAACCCGAGAGAGGAGCCCAAAAAGTCAGTGTTAGGGTAGTACTTAGCCTTAAAAACACGCCCCAAGAGAGAGTTTGGAGCTTGAATTAGACGCCAAGCTTGCCTTCCTAACAAAGCATCGTTGAAAACAAACAAATCTCTGAAGCCATACCCCCAAAACATTTTAGGG